GAGTTATTATTACTGTTGCCAATCACCGTTTTTGCAAAGAAATTTTAGAATTTGTTGAGCAATTAATCAAGCAAGCAACTCTGTAAAAAATCATGTGCATCACCTAGAACATATAATTGGTTTCATCAAATAATATGTGCTTTCTAGATTGTGACCAGGTCTTTTAGTCTTAATTTATAGCTTCACAATTGATGACTGTGATTGGGTTCCATCTCTTGCATACTTAATTTTCTCTTTAAATTTATTGCTGCAGTGTGTGTGTGATTGGGATAACCGGGAGAAGATGTTTATTGAAGTTGAGGGGATACTTAGAAGACAAATTAAGGTATCACAGCTACTCGCCGTATTGTTACATGTTTACTTTGTTGGATATTTTTTCATCCTGAAATACTGATTCTGTTTTCCTTGATGTTGTGTCGTCTCATATTTGTCCTTAAGATGTCCGTTATCCCAAGCGTTCAGCCTTTCCACGCAATTGCTTACCCTCTTGATCCAATGCTTGCTCTAGATATCAGGTGGGGAATTTTCTTTTGGATTAATCACAAAAATGATGTGAGGTTGAAGCTGACTGTTTCTTTGCTTGTACAGTCGCAAGTATGCCCAGCACTGCTCTGTGGTAGCAACTCGCTACTCACTTCCTCCTTTCACCCATCCACCACCGCTGCCAATTAAAGGAGGTGGCAGGATCGACAGGCTGAGGGTTGGGTAAGTTCCATAAGCTGATAAATACTTGCTTGCTTTTCCTCTGAGGTTCAAATCTGCTGTAAGCTTTTCATAAATATTGCTACATGCTACTTACTAATAAGTTTCTTAAATGTGTCTAGATATGTGAGCAGTGATTTCGGCAACCACCCACTATCACATCTAATGGGTTCCGTTTTTGGGATGCATGACAAAGAGAATGTTGAGGTTAAGTTAATTTGTTACTTTTCCTTATCCTTTGCACCATTCACGACTTCGCCACTTGTTCATGCTAAATCTCCAAGTACTTCTTTTCCTAGGTGTTCTGCTATGCCTTAAGTCCAAATGATGGTACAGAGTGGAGGATTCGCACTCAGACAGAAGCTGAGCATTTTATTGATGTATCATCCTTGACATCTGATGTGATTGCAAGGATGATTAATGAGGATCAAATACAGATACTTATCAATCTCAATGGTTATACCAAGGTACAGATTGGACTCGATCCAGATCAATCCTAATTAGATTTTATATTTGTTTGGCTAGTGTTGGTTGTGTGCGCCCAGTCCATGCACGAGTTCCATATGCTAGACCCATTAACATAATGAAAAGAAATGGAATGGAAAAAGTAGTTTCCTTTCTTGGAAATAGTCCACAATAAACAAATAAATCAATGATTTCTGTTCCATCTTAGTTAGCTTAGTTGTGGACATGAATGCAAACTCGAATACTTACCAATAAGAATTTGATCAGCCACGGCCTTCCATTTGCTGGTTTGGCAAATGAGTATAATAATGATATTGCCGAACTAAAGTGCAAACCTGTGAAACAGGTCTCACCGTCTCATGAGGTGCACATTTTGTTGGTGTATGTCTTATATTTGTTGTTTTAAGCAAAAAATACGTGTGTTACATCTTTTACCTTTTCGAAGATGCTGATTAATGTGCCCATATTTTGCTTTGCCTTCTATCCTGAGAGGTATTTTTTGAACGACTTCGTTTATCTAATGTTGTCATCTTTGACTTCGGACTTATGTATTGCAGGGGGCAAGAAACGAGATATTTGCCATGCAGCCAGCTCCAATCCAGGTTTCATACATGGGGTTCCCTGGAACCACAGGGGCAACATACATAGATTATTTGGTTACAGATGAGGTAATTTGCTAATGACACCCTTGATATTACATATTTGCTGTTAACCTTTGCTCTCTATGGGTCCCTGATGTAATATCCTTGTATGCAGTTCGTTTCACCTATGAAGTACGCACATATTTACTCAGAGAAGCTTGTACATCTCCCTCATTGCTATTTTGTCAACGATTATAAGCAAGTAAGTTTCCCGTGATCTTTCTGAGCTTTATATGAATCTTATTTCAAAATGAATCAATTATGCCTCAATCCTAAATTCATAGTTGGAGTAGGCTATATGTATTTTTTCATCTCTTCTAGCAGTAGGTCATTTGTATCCAATATTAGATAATATTTAGTTATTAATGTATTTGATCATGAATAAAAATCTTATTGATTTCTTAAAAAAAGATCTGAGCTTGTATATATGTTGAACTCTTCTGGATTTGTTATATTTTTCACTGCTGATGGGTGTCTTGCTGCTGTTTTTTGTAGAAAAACTGTGATGTGCTAGATCCAAACAGCCAACTGAAGCGCTCAGATTATGGGCTGCCAGAGGATAAATTCATATTTGCATGTTTTAATCAGCTTTACAAGATGGATCCTGAGATTTTTATTACATGGTAGTTACTTGGAATGATTTAAATTGGTCTACTTTTACCCTCACAAGCACTTACTAAAAAACTTGCTGAATTGGTATGTGCAGGTGCAATATCCTTAAGCGTGTACCGAACAGTGCTCTTTGGCTTCTCAGATTTCCAGCTGCAGGGGAGATGAGGCTCCGTGCACGTAAGTATTTTCTTCCACACCATGCATTTCTCTTGTGAGACTTGTTGGTCTATGAAAAGTCTCCTAATTCAGCTCACTTTTATTACAGATGCTGCTGCCCAAGGCCTGCAACCAGACCAAATTATTTTCACAGATGTTGCAATGAAACAAGAGCACATCAAGCGCAGCTCCTTGGCTGATCTTTTCTTGGACACGTAAGAAGATTAAGAACATTCAGCGCCTTGTCTTTCAAGAATCTTGTTCCACTCATCTCATTTACTTGAACTTCGGTGTGTTTTTTTTCCACTTGTAGGCCACTGTGCAATGCACATACCACAGGAACAGATGTTCTTTGGGCTGGTCTACCAATGATAACCCTTCCCCTTGAGAAGATGGCTACTAGAGTTGCTGGTTCTCTGTGTTTGGCGACAGGACTTGGTGATGAGATGATTGTCAGCAGGTAAGTGTTGTATACTTGCTGTAATTGCTGGGTAGGGTACAGTGTATGACCGATAGAACCTTGGCTCAAGGACAAGTACTTTATGACTGATATCATTATATTGACTTTGATGTTGCAACATAAATGAGAGTTGTCCTTTTCTTTCCTTTTTGGTTTACTTTGCATTTTGCAGTATGAAGGAATATGAGGAGAAGGCGGTGTCACTGGCACTAAATCGTCCAAAGCTCCAAGATCTCACCAATAGACTCAAGGCTGTACGAATGAGTTGCCCTTTATTTGATACAACACGTTGGGTGAGTAATTAAACACATCAGATTTACTTTACTGAACGGCCTTGTTGATTCTAGTGCTTTGAGTGGACATGGTAAACTCATTCTTTCTCCTTTGCATTTTCAGGTGAGGAATCTGGAACGTTCTTACTTTAAGATGTGGAATCTCTATTGCTCCGGCCAGCATCCTCAGCCCTTCAAAGTGACGGAGAATGACTCAGAATTTCCTTTTGACCGCTAGATGTAGTAGGGAAGGAAGAGAACATGATTGTACATAAAACAAGAGAACATAAAAATTCCTATTTATATAGAAGTATATAAATTACTGCATTTAGGTGTTTGTTGAAATGTGATTCTGGAAACTCTCGATGAAAGTTCATTAGTTGCTCAAGTGCAAGCAGATGTCAAGACTCGAGACGAGACTCACCCAGTGTCTTGTTTGGCTTGAATGTGAAAATGCGTAAGAGTGAGAGAGAGAGACTGGAGGGAGAAGGGTGCTGGATAGCTGTAGAGTTCAAAAATTGGGTGGTTAATGAAATGTAAGGAGTCATTGTTGTGCATCTTTGTTCATCAACTTGTCTTTGACATTTTCAGTTGAGTTTGTGCAAGCATCCAATGCCCCCAGTAAATTAACACATTGTGTTTGTTTCAAATGTTATATTAGTTAGTCATCCTCCTTTAAAATTTTCAAATGTTCCTTTATAAAATAAATTAGCAAATTCAAATAAAGTATATCAGGATGTTTGAGGTTGTATAACACACTCAGAATAAAAGGGTAGAATCCCCCCCCTAAATTGTACATAAAAAGAGGTTTCAACAAAGAGTTGTAACAAATGAATGTACTCGAAATTTTGCAAGTTGCAATGAATTAAACTTTGGCTAAAAACTTACTATATTACTCCCTCCGTTCTTATTTACTGGTTAAATATTTTCTAGTTTAATTTCCCTATTACTTGTTATTTTTGACAAATTAAGGAAGGATAATCCCCCCTCCCCCACCCATCCATTATCCTCAATTAATATTAAGAAATATAGTGAGTAAATATGTTGGACACCTTATCAATTAACAAGGATAAAATGATAAGCTTACTATATTAATCATTATTTTTTAATAGATATGTTACGTTAAAAATTGGCAAATAAAAAGGGATGAAAGGAGTATTTATTTTTATTAATAAGCTCTTAGTCTAATCACTTCCCCTCATATCCTTTTACTTATTACTTCTTCTTTGATTATTATATTCATTTATAAACCAGCATATGATTATCAATCATATCATCAAGTCATTTATCCTAATTAAATTTTGAGGATAAATTTAAATCCTGAAATAAAATAGATAAAGATATTCATTTAAATCTTTTTTATACATCATTTTCAAATTCATGTATGTTTACATTATTTTTAATATTATGTACAATAACATTCACAATATTCACTATTTCTTATTCTTATGATCATTCTTCATATTTTTCTACTAAAAAATTACACTATATAAATATAATTTTTATTTATGAATTTATTTGACTAATGCTTATGTTTATTTATATTTTGATTTCTCATAAATCCTCTTTTACTTTAACAAATTTAAGTTGAAAATTCTATTTTTTAAGCTAAATAAAAAAATATTTAACCTAAATAAAATATTATTTTTTTATTACAAATTGTGGGATTTTACCGAAAGTTTTACTCCTATATGACGAAGAAAGGTATTATGGCGTCCATTGTATCAGTTAGTTTTCAAGTTCCAGACTTCCAAACGGCGTCGTTTCTTTGTTGGTGTAGGATTGATTTCGAAAATTAGGTTTTGAGTTCAGAAATTTGGTAGTTAATTGCAATGGTGCTGAGTTAATCAATGGCGGCTAAAGGGAGGTAGCGTCTCTACACACTCACTCTTTATTTCCTCTGTTAATTTGAGCTCAATAGAGCTGTCTTGTTATTGGTGGTTAGTACGAAGTTTATCTGAAATGGTTGTATGAATAAAAAATGCAACTTTATTTGTTTTTTGTGATTTCATGGAATTTTGTGGTAAATACTATTGTTTACACAAAACCAACTCAACAATTGCTGTGGTTAAGTGATTCTGTAAAGTGAAAATATGAGTTAATAAACCATTGATATGTGTTTTGGAAGTTTATATGCAGTGACATTCATCTAATTGGTTTGGTATAAACACTCGTGCGAGTAAGTTTTTATGTATTTTTTCCATTTTTGTTTGAAGGATTTTGCTGAATTTTCCATGTAATTTGTAGGACTCGAGCGTTGATATAGTTGCATTCTATGCTCTTTAGCGTAGTTAATTCAGCTGGAAATTGAGTTAGTTTACCTCAATTGGATTTGAACCGATTTGCTATTCAGGAATGTTTTCAATGTTCGCCAGAATCTTTTTTCAAAGGACTTTGTATTCGGCTACATTCACCAACAACACCAGCATTTTTAGGTGTCTTAAAACTATAGCACCTTCCATTGACCAGTGTAGCAATCCTTTCAGCGGTAAAGGTAGTTGTGGCAGAAGTGTGCCTAATGATGATTACTTTGCAACAATTCATCATGTATCTAACATTGTACGGCGGGATATTTATCTGGAGCGGACCCTTAACAAGATGCATATTTCAAGTATTGTCAACTCTGAACTGGTGTACCGCGTCCTTAGAAGTTGTTGCCAACATGGTATTGAATCTTTTCGTTTCTTTAACTGGGCTCGGACTCAACACCCTCAGTATGACCCAACTACTGTTGAGTTTGAAGAACTTCTTAAGACCCTTGCCCGGACTGCCCACTGGGAGACAATGTGGAAAGTAGTCCAGCAGATGAAAGCTCAAAATATTCCTATCTCACCGTCCATTGTTTCATTCATTATTGAACACTATGGTAAGCGTGGTCTCATTGATCAGGCTGTCGAGCTTTTCAATCGGCTCAAGAACTTCGACTGTCCTCAAACTACTGAAGTATACAATGCTATGCTTTTCGCACTCTGTGAGGTCAAGAATTTCCAAGGGGCCTATGCATTGATTCGGAGGATGATACGAAAAGGTACTGTTCCAGATAAGCAGACATATTCTATTCTTGTAAATGGCTGGTGTTCTGCCGGGAAGATGAGAGAGGCACAAGAGTTCTTGGAGGAAATGAGTCGGAAGGGCTTCAATCCTCCTGTACGTGGGAGGGACCTTCTAATTGATGGGTTGCTCAGTGCTGGATATCTAGAATCAGCTAAAGGATTGGTGAGAAAAATGACAAAAGAGGGGTTTGTGCCAGATGTTGGAACATTCAATTCTTTGGCAGAGGCTATATGTAAAACTGGGGAAATCGACTTTTGCATTGACCTCTTCAATGATGTTTGTAGATCAGGGCTTTTTCCTGATATTGAGACTTATAAGATTGTCATAACTGCTGCATCAAAGGTAGGTAGGATTGATGAGGCATTTCAGATTCTTCATAGGTCAATTGAAGCTGGACACCGGCCATTTCCCAGTTTATATGCTCCAATACTAAAAGCTTTCTTCCGGAGAGGACAGTTTGATGATGCATTTAGCTTTTTCAGTGAAATGAAGCTGAAAGGGCATCCACCAAATCGACCTCTTTATACCATGTTGATAAAGATGTGCTCTCGTGGAGGTAGATTTGTAGAGGCGTCTAATTATTTAGTAGAAATGACCGAGTTAAATTTGTTGCCTATGTCACGAAGCTTTGACATGGTGACAGATGGATTGAAGAATTGTGGAAAACATGATCTAGCCAAAAGGATCGAGCAGTTGGAGATATCTGTCAAGGGCATCTGAATTATTGTTGTGAATCGAGCAGTTGGAGATATCTGTCCAATAGACTCAAGGCTGTGCGAATGATCTGCCCTTTATTTGATACAACACGTTGGGTGAGTAATTAAACACATCAGGTTTACTTTACTGAACGACCTTGTTGATTCTAGTGCTTTGAGTGGCCATGGTAAACTCATTCTTTCTCCCTTTGCATTTTCAGGTGAGGAATCTGGAACGTTCTTACTTTAAGATGTGGAATCTCTATTGCTCCGGCCAGCATCCTCAGCCCTTCAAAGTGACCAAGAATGACTCAGGATTTCCTTTTGACCACTAGATGTAGTAGGGAAGGAAGAGAACATGATTGTAGATAAAACAAGAGAACATAAATTCCTATTTATATAGAAGTATATAAATTACTGCATTTAGGTGTTTGTTGAAATGTGATTCAAGTCTCAAGTGTTGATCATATTACCCATTCGTGGTACTGGAAACTCTCGATGAAAGTTCATTAGTTGTTCAAGTGCAAGCAAATGTCAAGACTCGAGACGAGACTCACCCAATGTCTTGTTTGGTTTGAATGTGAAAACTCACAAGAGTGAGAGAGAGACTGGAGGGAGAGGGGTGATGGATAACTGTTAAGTTCAAAAATTGGGTGGTGAATGAAATGTAAGGAGTCATTGTTGTGCCTCTTTATTCATCAACTTGTATTTGACATTTTCAGTTGAGTTTATGCAGGCATCCAATGCCCCTAGTATATCAACACATTGTGTTTGTTTCCTTCATTTTATTGTCTAAATATTGCTCTATTATGTGGCAGTGGCCATCATCCAATGTTGTCTATTCCAAACCTAGGTTTGGCTAGCCAAGATTGTCTATCTTTTGCTTTTCCGGTAGCAAATTTTAAGCTCAAATCGACCACGGGAAACATTCCTATTGTTTTTAGCAGATATTGATAGTAATGAAGGTGTTTTTTCGGAAACAATGCCTGGAGTTGTAAGAAGCTACATGGTGAAACAAATATGTTGAATTGCTCGAAGATGAAAAATGACATGGGATGGTTGTTCTTATATTGGCAAAAGTTTTTTTTTTCAAAAAAGTTCTTGTGATACAAATTATTTTTCAAAACTTATAAAATAGTGTATGACTCGAACACACACATAATCAATAGGCATAATACATAAAGAAGACCTTTAACTTGGCATCAATTCACAACTATGACCTTAAACTTTGCTACTGCACAAGTAGGCACTTCAACTATCCAAAAATTTAACAATTAAACACTCTAATCATACATGGCAAAGTGCGTGAAACACACTTCAATTAGGCGCGTCAGTGGTAAAAATAAAGGTCCCCAACAGTAAAAAAAACGCTTAAATGACACTTCTACCCTTAATGAGTCTCTTTCATATATATAAAATCTCACTTTACTCTCTTCTTTCTAATTTCTTCAACACATATTCTTTAAAATTTTCTATCATTTGTAAAATTATAAAAATCTATGCTCTCTTCTATTCTTGGATACATCACTTTACACTATGTATCGGGACGTACGTGTATCAAGATAATGAGTGATATATTCAAAATCGAGACACGATGTATCGAAAAGTTAAGAGATGTATTTGAAATCAAAACTCGATGTACAGAGACATTTTGGGATGTATCCAGATTCCATCAAATTTAAGAGATTTTTATAATTTAAAAAAAAATAGAAATAAGATGTAATTAGCTATTACCATTGGGATAGGATTTGATATTTTACATTGGGTATGAACTCTGATATGTAAAAGAATAGATGAGTTTATTTTTTAAGTTACATGATATTTTTTAAATTAAGAAATGAATTTAAGAATTGATTTTTTGATTTAGTAAATATATATTTGTTAATGAAAAGGATAAATATCCCTTATTTGTTAGATTATGGGTATATATATATATACCATTATTATATAAAATTATACAATTATTTAAACTTATAAATATTGAATTTTGTCTCACATGGACTTCAAACCACTAAACTCCATCCTAATTGGGACACATCACCAAATAGTTTATATTTCCATTAAATATCCTCAAATTTTAACGGAGGAAATGCATTTCAATAAGGCACCTTTCAATAATGTAGCATACCAATAAATATCGTAAATATATCCATCAATCATCATCAAGCAATGACAAGGGGCACATGTTACTATCGTAATAGTTGACAATTGACACTAACGGTGCATAACAAGTAAACTTGGTACTATAATTGAGATATATTTCTATAACTTTTAATAAACTAAAGGCATAATACATAAAGAGGACCTTTAACTTGGCATCAATTCACAACTATGACCTTAAACTTTGCTACTGCACAAGTAGGCACTTCAACTATCCAAAAATTTAACAATTAAACACTCTAATCCTACATGGCAAAGTGCGTGAAACACACTTCAATTAGGCGCGTCAGTGGTAAAAATAAAGGTCCCCAACAGTAAAAAAAACGCTTAAATGACACTTCTACCCTTAATGAGTCTCTTTCATATATATAAAATCTCACTTTACTCTCTTCTTTCTTAATTTCTCCAACAACTTTTGCCATCTTCCTCTCTTTCTTCACAATTTCTTGAACAATTTTACCTTTGATTCGAAGGATGAAATGTAGGAACTTAGGGTTAGGATTTTGTAGAGAATAAAGAGGAAAACATTGTTCTCTGTTCTAAGCATAGGGTCAAAGTTGTTAATTGATATTTATTTTGTTTTTATTTTCAGTTTTTTAATTGAAAAATCCACGTGTATTTATTTTAATTAGTTGGCAGCCACGTAGAAGCATTTGTATATCACGCACTTTACCTGGGATATACGAGTGTTTAATTGTTTAAATTTGTGATAGTTAAAGTGCCTACTTGTGCACTGGCAAAGTTTAGGGTCATAGTTGTGAATTGATGCCAAGTTAAAGGTCCTCTTTATGTATTATGCCTAATCAATAAGACGCTTAACATTTTTACTACTATGTGGGCCAGCATTGCACTTTTTTGTTAAGAAACTTTTCAGTTCTTATTTGGTTGACTATGGTCTTTCTGGCTTCTCTGTCGTTTGAGTTTCTTTTTGTATTTTTGTCTTTTAATATCTATATACAGTACCATTACACATTGCATTTGCATGCATATCTAATCTTGTTGTCCTTATGGAGAGAACTGATCTTATCAAGGCCTTAAAGGGCTACAAGGTATGAATAATTTAACTTTTACTAATTAGTTGTGTATATATTTTAGTTTACTGTGATTATGTTTTGCATGTCTACTTTTGCATTTACATATATAAACACTTTAACTTGGCCTCAAATGACAACTTTGAAAATGCACATTTACACATTTTAACTTTGGTTTAAGCACACTTTCCCAGATGTGCATTCTCTAAGTTGTGGTGTTTATGGGGCCAACTTAAACCAAGTTAAGTTGTCTAGATGTACATTTTCAAAGTTGTGGCGTTTAGTTGTCAGTTGAGGTTGTCTTTGTTATTAGAGAAATCATGTATATTATAATGTCCTCTTTTTTATGGTTCGATCCTCTCCAGGAAGCAGTCAAATTAAAACCAAACTCCTCTGATGCTTATCTGTGCATGGGAAGTGTATACAAGGTAAGTCCTCTTGTATTGTGTCAATAAGGTCCAAAGGCTATAAGAAGTGACGAAGCCAATATTTTCAATAACCAAACTCAAAATATAAATAAGTAAAAATCAAAAGTAATTTTAACCTCGTATATAGTATAGTGTATACTATATAAGTGTATTTTTTAGACAAAGGGATGTGAAGAAATACACGATAAGCATCTTCTTTGCATTTTCCAGGATTTGGGAATGCCCCAGAAGGCTATAGTGTGTTACCAGCGTGCACTGCAAGCGCGACGAGACTATGCTATGGCTTTTGGTGAGACTCCATTTTCACTATGTCGAGTCCCATATCCTCTGCGAGAAAGGAAATTGGACTCTTTATATGGTCTAGAACAATTCTCACCTCTTGAGTTGTCTCTGCAGTTCTCTTGGGTCTTGTATACCATGAACAAGGAAATCTGGAAATGGCAATACGTAATTACAGGAGAGCTATTGCCCGTGATGCTGAATGCTTCGAGGCGTATGGAAATCTGGTACTTAGCTCATAAAAGTTCATATCCTATATTAACATTTTGTTTTTCGATATTAATTCAATATGCCTTAGATAATCTTACTTATAGGGTAATGCTCTAAAAGATGCTGATAGAGTGCAGGAAGCAATTGATTGCTATCATGTAAGTTTGTGTTCACTATTTGGCTCGTCATATGCTTTAATTTCCTTTTTCTTAATCCGTCTGTCCCAATTTTTGGGACACTTTTCTTTTTCCGAGAGTCGGTTTGACTAATCTTTGAAGCTAAATTTTACAAGATCAACTATATTTTAAAACTAAAATTTAGAAATTCAAACATAATATTATGCATTTCTTCACAGTTCAATCTTACGACAAGATACATCTTAAAATGTCAGTCAATGTTCACATAGTTTGAGTTTTGAGATGCGAAAAGTGTCATATAAATTGATACAAAGAATAATTATGCCTTTCGGATGATTTCTCAACCTTTCTGATGAATGCATGCAGCAATGCATCTCTCTTCAACCTAACCATCTGCAAATACTATCCATTCTGGGAAACACTTTTATGGAGCGGTAAGATTTTGCTTAATCGTAATGATTCTCTTCTTAACTAGCAATTTTCAAGAGTTACTATTCCTATTGTCTAGGAACAGGACGAGTGCCCTTGAGCAATGTTATAAATCGATTTTAGCTGTCACAATCTCAGATCCTTTTATAAATCTCGCCATAATATACGTGCAACAGGTAAGTATTTAGTTACTACTTCCCAAGAATGCTTAATTTGCAGATCAGTAAAAAGCTTTCTTGTACAATTTTTAAGATAGCAAGGAGGGACTATGTTATTTACAATCACTAGTGCCATTTCTGTATCTGGTTCTTCTTTTATGATGCAACTTTCAGGGAAATTATGGACTAGCCATGTCATGCTGTAATGAGGTACTCAGAATTAACCCCATGGCAACTGAAGGACTGGTCAATCGGGGTAATATATACATAGAGATTGGTAAAGTTAACGAAGCTATACAAGACTACACGCAAGCTATTGCCATTAGTCCAACCGTAGCAGACACTCATGCATTATTAGCTTTAGCTTACATGTTAAGGTATTGTCGTTAAGGTTAACAAGCTTCGAAAGTTAAAGATCCCTTTTATACGTGTTCCTACCTGTTCATTCTGCTTGTTCGTAATGCTTTGATTTTTCGTGTAGTCGCAACATTGAAGCAACTATAAAAAGTTATAGACAAGCTTTGATGCTACGTCCGAACTTCCCCAGAGCAACCTGCAATCTTTTCCACTCGCTACAGGTCTGTTCACTCTGTTATAGGTACTTCCGTAGTTCATTTAGAAATCATGTCATGCTCTGTTTGGTTAGGTTCTGATCTTAAGCTTTATTGTTAGTATTTTCTTATTTTCCAAGTGTTATTTATGTCTGTTGCCAAACTGTTAAGCAATTAATTATGTAAGAAACTTCATAAATAATTTGCATCTTGTGCACGAGGACGCGTGATTGGTTTCATCTTGTGCATAGTTTATTTTTCCCTTCCAATCTCATGGTATGCAGTGTGTCTGTGATTGGGATAATCGAGAGGAGATGTTTATTGAAGTTGAAGGAATACTGAGAAGACAGATTGAGGTATTACAACTACTTTCTGACC